AGTCGTCTGCCGAGGCCCTTAATCAGAGTGATGTAAATAGAGCTCTCTATCCAGAACATTCATTCTTAAAGGAGTGATGTACCCATGCCTATAATAAAGTTGCTGATATGCTGGGTTCAGGATTTGAATATACCTCCAATTTCTGTTGCCATTAACCTATTAAGGAGAAAATTGTTTTGTCTTCCTAAGTAAGATATGTCAGCAGTGGGTAACTGTGTTTCTGAAATTCTGGGAAATGATTCTGCCGGTTGAGTAAGACTTTGAGTAAAAAATTATGCCATAGATTTTTGTTTGCTTGGGCAAAATGATGAATTTCATATGGACTTCATCTTAGGGAATCATTGTTACTTTGGATGATTTGCTTTGTTATGTGGCCATCATATTAGGGGTAAGAAAGTAGTTTCCTGTTGTGTCTGATGTGCAAATAACCCTGTGTTGCCTTGTCTTATTTACTGCCTCCATTTGAATCTGACCTTTGTAGTTAGCAATCTCCTGGTGTCTCCCCCTCCCTCTGATCTGACAAAGCATTGTTGTTGCTGTGTCCCTCCAAGATATTTTTGACTTATAGTGACCCTAAGGCAGACCTATCACAGTTTTTGGGGGGCAGGTTTCTTCAGAGGGGATTTGCCATTGCCATCTTCTGAGGCTGAGAGAGTGTGACTTGCCCAGGTCACGTAGTGGGTTTTTATGCTTGAGCGGGGAATCGAACCCTGATCTCCAGAGTCTCAGTTCAACACCCGAACCACTACACCACACCGTCTCTGCAAAAGCATAGAACCAGTCATAAAACTCATTATAGAAACCTTCCTCAATCTTATGCTCTCCAGAGAGATTACAATTTCAGTAATTCCTATCCAGGTGGGGGAAGGACAGCTGGTTGGGTAAAGTGACAGTAGTTAAAATAACACTCTTCTCCTCCATCTCCCCCCTCCCCATTTCTGCCAACCCAGTGCCAACTGAAATAAAGTATTTCAGGCTTTGGAGAGTCTTTGGGACAGGGGTGGGAATAATAATAATAATAATAATAATAATAATAATAATAATAATAATAATAAATTTTTATTCATTTATAATCATGTGGCCCTCCAGATGTTGCTGAACTACAGCTCACAGCAGCCCTAGAGAGCATGGCTAATGATGAAGACTGTTCACTTGTAGTTCATTAACATTTGAAAGGCCACTGCTTCAGGAGAAAGATGCTGCAGCTTCAACACATCATTACAGTTACACAGTATGAACAGGCTTGTATCATGTGAGTCCTTATTCCAGGTGCACCTGTCATCAAAGGATACACAACTGGCAACTATGGGCTGGGAATTTCTGTTGTTATGTGGCAATCCTGGAATATTTTTAATGGAAGCATCCATTTGCCCGTTCTTATTGGCAACAAACCTGCAGGTTTTATTTTTGAAGCATTTGCCGACAACAGTGGTATTGTTTGACCTCTGAATCTTTTGCTCATTATTGACCTCTGAATCTTTTGCTCATTATTTTAATTAATTTGACTGTTTTGTTTATATTTTTTTTTATTAAGGATTCATTTATGTTTTTGTATAAGCTGCCTCACTAGTGGAAAGGTGAGGTTTTGGCTTTAAATAAGTAATAATTGGCTGCATAAATGTTAACTGAAAATTCCTTCTCAACTTGGTGGTTACTATTTTATTATGCCCTAAGCTGACCATATTGCATGTTTCTACATACTAATTTGCAGCTTTCATTCAGGTGTAACCTTTGATACAATTTGCTTGTTCAGCTTCTAAGAGACCAAGGATGGAAGGCTAGAGAAGATGGCAATATTATGGTCATTTGAATAGCCTGTTGTGTAGTAGAGATTAATTTAGAGTTAGACATTTTCATTTTCATTTATCCTGCTGTTTTGCTCACAGAACATTCGTAACAGCTTCTGTCAGAAAGATGATATAACATCTGAAGAAGATTTTAAAACAAAGACTAAAAACAGTGATAAAATAAAATAGTGTACAACAACTGCAGAGATAACATATGAAAACCTGTTTTGAATGGGTGAGATTTTGAGCCATTTTATCATTCATTGTTCAGATTTATAAAGATACTTGAAAATCAGTGTGTACAGTGGACTAGAACCTTTACACAAACCCTTTAATGAAAAAATGTTTGTTAAAATTCATAAGAAAGTCAATTTAAAGTTTTGATCTTGCTATTTTTAGTTGTTAGTCTGTGATCATGACTGTTTTGTTGTCATGACTGTGATCATGATTAGAGAGCAAAGAAAAGGCTATCCAGGTGGCTTTTCCTTTCTCCAGTATCTGATTTTGCTTCTTTGATTTGTGCAAAGCACTCAAACATGTGGAACAAGTGGGATTCTTTCTGTGCCTTTAATGGTGCTATAGTAGCTCTTCTGGAGGGAATAAAAAGCATAAACTGAGCCTGTGGCTTCCAACATAACAATCACAATAGAATACAGGATATCATAATCTTTTATGGTTGCTGTAAATCAAACCCCTCTTGGCTATAGTTCTTGATCTAGTCTGCAAGAGTTCAGTAGGCTTTGAAACTGAAGCCAGCACTAGAAGGATAAACTATCTGGTGCCCTTACATTAAATGTTTAAAACCAAAAATACTTGCTTTGTTCAGAATGTGGCACAGGTCCAAGACTTGTTCAGATCCTATCACCTGTAATCTGTGCTCTTAAGTTGAGGTAAGGGGAGTATTTTTGGTGTGGCTTTAAGAAATGGTAAATGGTAAATAGATCAAATGTATGGTGGAGGGGTTGATCTGTGCCTGGGAAAACAAAGCCTGCCATTGAGCTTTGATGGGTGGGAGGAGGCAGCAATCTTCCTCATTGCCCAAACACACCCTGTTTGTCAGCAGTGCTCTCTACTGATAATTCAACCAATTGTTTGCTGCCCACATTGAGGATTGGCTTGCCAAAATATTCCATGGGTCAAAGATACCCTGCAAAATGATGACTCATTATATTTTTCTCCTTCAAATAAATGGCTTGCTAAAGTAGTGGGATGTCTTGATCCCTGACATAATTGGTGTTTACGCCATATATATCAGGTATTTTCTAGTGCCAAGTCTGTTCATAGTTGCTATATCCCGAGAAGGTCAGCATTCAGAAGGTTAAGCATTGTCTCAGCTCCCGAATTATTTCATTCCTGTACTGAGTGGTTGAAGCATTGCAGATTGCTTTTTGACTTTGGAAAAAAAAATAGAAAAAACAAAATTGGAGTTTTGATAATGACAAAAATAGCAGCCTGGATTCCAGCCCAACCTAAGCATGGCTATTTGATTTTAGTTACTGAAGAGAACATCTGACAGATAGGTAAAATAGTATTGACTGATTTCTAGGTATTTCTGTTCTGTTTTTCTGGAAGATGTCTTGAAACAATTTCCATAGCAAGCATTAAAATAAATAGCTGTTAATATGTTTATGCCTGTGAAAACTTATGCAATTTTGAATTCAAATGCGACACAATTCTTTCTCTTTAAAAATATAATAATGAAAAGCAGAACAGAAGAAAGATGGGCTTTTGACAAAGAGGGAGAAGTATGTAGGGTTATCTTCTAGACTTCTGATACTTGTAAATTCTCAGGAAGGTTATTACAGTCTGATTAATGCATTTACATATCTCCTTCTGTAGAGGTAAAAGCACATCTCCTGTATTGCTGTTTTTCTCAAAACTTTGAACTAATTTGTTAAAGATTAATTAGTTAACCCTGATTTATTTAAAAAATGAACAATGATTTGAATTTTTGTTCTTTTAGTTGGCAGTGATGTTACTTTTGTCAAACTATTAACATTTCTCATTGCTTGACTAATACTGGCTATTTTTAGTGAGATACTGGATGGTGTTATTTTTGTTTGTTTATGCTTGCTTCTATCAATACTGCTGGAGAGCACCAATTTTTCTACTTGGAACAGGCTTTTTAAAATATCTTTTGTTTTCTTTCCACATTTCTAGTACGTATGTTTGTGAAATGTCAGGCTGGTAAGAACACTTAGGAAAGCACTCGTTTATTTTCAGCCATGTTGAGATTTTGCTTTTATGTTTGTTTGTTTTTTAATTATTCATAGAAGTATAGAGTTGGAAGAACCCAGAAGGGGCATCTAGTTCAACCCGCTGTCATGAAGAAATACACAATCAAAGCACTCTTGACAGATGGACATCTAACCTGTTTAAAACCTTTAAAAAAGGAGATTCTACTACACTCTTAGGCAGCATATTCCACTGTTAAACAGCTCTTAATAGTTTCATTGTGAATTATTGTATCTTTTGTTTGATTATTATTATTTTTCCTTTGGGATCTTTGGTCCCAAATCAAACAACATCACATTTTCCAAACATAACTCATTATGACTGTGTTTTTAAATCATTGTAAGCCACTATGGCTTACAATGGGACAAAGGTGGGGCATAAATTAAACAAACTAACTACATATATAAAGACACCAAAACAATACCACCCCTTCCATATTCAACATGTGTAGTAAAGTTTACAGCCAAACACAAATTTAAAAAAGTAAAGCAGTGGAAGATCTCCACCAAAGCCCAGGGAGGACTGAATCTGTGCCGAGAAGAAAAGGGGAAATTGTGGGAAGAAATGGAGGGGGAATGAAATATCCATGGAGAGGTTGTGGCTGGTAGATTGGAAATTAAAAAATAAATAAATCTGTATTGCAACATTTTGTTGCTGGTCCCATTTGTTACAGGCACATACCATGTTTGTTTTTTTTAAGGGGTGCATGCATCCCATTTAATTTTCCTAACCATTTTTTGAGATATGTCAGGCTGAGCTATAGTGACCGGCCCATTAACACCTGGGACACTTGGATAAGCCTTAAGACACAGCCATGTTTCTCTGAACTTTTTCATTCTGAGCAGGTCCTTACAGACTGGAAATTTGGAATACTGCCAGCCCTGAGCTTGGTCCAATTTGTATCTGTTTCACATTTAAAATGAACAAAAGGGAACTGGCACAATTTCCTCATCCATATATTTAGCTTGCAGAGAGCTGAGTGTATGTTGAGCAATACAGATTGCTGTTTGTTTCCTTTGTAGCTTGTCTGTTAACTTTATTTTAGAAAATTGTTATTCTGTCAGGTCTTTGATTACACAGGTCTCTTTCCTTCTGCCTGGCTTCCTTGTTCTTTTCTCTTCTTGAATTTGTTATGCTAAGTGAAGCATTGCTGGCACAATGTCTTGTATAGGAATCTGTTACAGTAAGCCAGATAATCAGTCCCATCTTTTCCATTTTAACTTTGTAGAGTCATTTGGCATCTTCAGTTTTCTCTCCAAAGCCTCAGGAAGAAAGAAGTTCTATCTAGCCAGATTTAACCTTTGAAATTTCTGCGTCCAGTGCACATGGTCTGTTCTTTGTACAGTGCATACCAAACTGTGATACCTCCTCAAACTCCAGTTGTGTGTCTGTGACATCCAGGAAGGCTAAACTATGCCACCTTAATACATTGTGCAAAGCTGCATGCAGTTAGGTAAAGGTATTCCCTGTTGATAAGGTTGTCAAGTCGTGTCCAACCATAGGGGGTGGTGCTCATCTCTGTTACTAAGCTGTAGAGCCAGTGTTGTCAGAGACTACTCTGTTATCATATGGCCAGCATAATTGCACAGAATGCTGTTCACCTTCCCACTGAGGTCGTACCTATTTATCCATTTGCATTTGTGTGCTTTTGAACTCAGTTGGCAGAAGCTGGGACTAGTGATGGGAGCTCACCCCATCATGCAACACCTGGGCCTTGAATTGCCAACTTGACGATCTT